CTGAACAGATAACCAAATTAGAAAAACAGAGATAGTTAGTTCAGGGAAACAACGAAGTATCTACAACAAAGTCTTCTAGCAACGTTTAGAAAAGGAGCGTTCCACCAAAAGCTAGAAAAGAGTGCAGATTTCAAAGTAGAACATGAGAACAAAAAAAAATTATGATTCCAAATATCATACACTTTTCAACTCTTTCGGAAGGTATTTCAGGCTTCTTTTTCAGATCTTTGATAGTCACTCAATAACTTAGATTTTTGCAATTTTAATAATGTACTTGGTTTATGATGAGCGCATGTGGCGCAGCGGTTAGATGTGCTCTTCGTCGCACCGGCTCGATGGTCCAGATCTCGTGCTCATGGCTCACAACCTCTTCGGGTTGGGTGAATTGGTTTCAGAATGGTCTTAGACTTGTCCTGGGAGGATAAGCAGCACTGACTTGATGCAGCGGGAGCTCACCGCGAATGATCGTAACGGCCATACCTTCAATCACCCAAAGCGAAGTTAAAAATTAAAGACAAATGTATGGCCTACTCTTCAGGGATTGATCAAGGCCGAGAGCTTCATCCTTTTATCTCTATTACTTTTTACTTCTTAATGTCATGCAGCAGCGAAAATAAGATTGAGTTTTACACGTGAACGCGCATTATCGCACATTTTCGTTACCTACTTTTTCTTCGTTTTGTAGTAATTTCTAGAATTACCGTATTAGAACTGAAAAGGAATCTTCTGCCGTTTGCCGATTGGGCTTTCTTTTTCATTTAGTGTCCCTAGATAAGGCCATTAACCGGTCGACTTCCGCGGGCCCAAACTGGTCAGAGTCGCAAGGTCGCAGATGGGAGGAGTGGAGCCGCTCCCATGCTCTGCGATAAAAGCCCTTGCCAGTTTGACACGTCCAGTTTGAGCCCGCGGAAGTCATCCGGTTAAGAAGTCTGAATAATGGGCTAATTAGGGCTATTTTCTGTGATTGGGATCCGTTGTTCTCTGTTCACTTTATGGAAACCTTTTCAAAAAACCTAACCTTAGCTTTTATTCACCAGAATTTATGATATCTAATAACCACTAAATTCTGTCAGAAGCCAACCAGAAATTCTAACCGACGCTCGTCGATTATGAAAAAGTAGTTCATCTTCGTTGTTACAGCGACTCAGGAGACTTAAAAAAACCATAGTAATGAGAATGCAGAGCCGATTGTTTTTGAACCTCAATATAAACATTCAAAATATTCTGTGAAAAGTTTGAAGCCTTTACGAGGTTTGCACGTCAACGGCTCACGTCCACTTCGGCGGTCTCCGCGCTTCATCAGAGCCACATGTCCCACGCTGAACTCTACTTTATGAGAAGGAAGGGAGGCGTTATGGTGACAGTACATGATAGTGTTATCATCACTTTTTTGTCGATGAATTTCGCCCAGTAGTGAAAAGGTATACATCCAATCGAGTGTTTTAAACCTCGCTATCGCTCAAAACCACTGACATATCCAGAAGGATCTAAACATTTTCACACTAGGCACTTTATTATCATCTTCAGGGTTTTCTTCCACTGTGAGATCACAGTGCTTTTAGCTCTCACTCGTTTCTTTTCCTTTTCTTGAAGTCGTACAACGCCGGTTGAGCGGGTCTCATTGCAATCTCGAGAATAGCCTGCCTGTGACGTTCCCTAGGGTGAGCTTCCATGCGAGCCGCGACGACATCACAACCACTCGCCCGTGGGACCACGACGTCCTTACGGAAACTACAGCATTGAGATCGTCGAAATCTAAGCCGTCTCGTAATTAACAAAAAACGAAAAAGGCCCAGTTACCCAAGAGTTGGAAAAATGCGTCGCGATAACACAAAACTATCGCAGTTTCAACTCAGACATCTTAGCACGGACAGAAGCTAAAAGATAACCCCTGGCCTAAATCAATACCTGTGGAAAGCGCCATGCATTCGTCCTCTTTTTAGCTTATTTTGAGGTTACTGAATGCATATCCGGCCTTTACAATGCTCGCAATGGCACAAGCCAGCGGTGCAATTTCCCAGACAAATCTCGTGCCAATTCAATGACTCTGGAGTAGATGGAGGAGTTAGCAAGCCATGAGGGCACGATGGAACAACCGACCGTTTGATCGATCATGTTGTACAGCACCTCTAACCACTGCAACACAGCAGCTCTTTCTGGGATATCGGTGTCAACTTAGTAAATAGGAGGACAAAAGAGACCAAACAGAATATCGTTTGAAAAAATGCTTAAAACTGCAGTACAGAATCGTCGAAATTCATGCTATCAAATGACTAACAGAAGCCCAGCAATTAACCATCCACAAAGCCCAGTCCAGCAAACAAACAAGTGGAAGACTGGTATTATTTTCGCTGTCAGAACACAATAAAAAAGGCCAACATATTCTGACAATGATATGACATGTTTTGAGGTCGCTTGTCAGGTCTAGGTAGTAACAAGGCAGGCGCCTGTTTTGTCCTCAAGGACTCTTTAGTAGCACGGTCCCTCAGTTCAGTCGATCCCTTGGAACTATTCTGGTCTATAAAGGAATCGACGCCGATTATTAAATGCCCTCAAGTCAGGTGGTAGAATCCTCTGACTTTGCGAGACTAGCAGTCGAGCTTGTGGCTGTTAAAATGATTAATTCCTCTCCATTCCACCGCTATCTTGTAGTCCGAAGAGTTCTTGAGGACGAGACAGGCACCTGTTCAGCACTTAGACCTGACAAGCAACTCATAACATGGCCAAGTCGATAAAAAAACAGCCGAATGGAGAGGTACTAAGTAAATTCCTAAGAGATATCCCAGATAATTAATTTGAGCCAAGAAGTCATGTGGTCGTTTTATGAGCGCAACTTAGAGCCCAATACGCGTGTTAAGGCCTTGTCAGCCTCATCAGACGGGCAGTACCCTTGATCTTTAGCCAGTCGCCTCGGGGTGCTCTATCCCCTTACAGCGAGGGACGACGACAAACGACTTACACGCGCCGTCAAGTGAAAAAAAAATCACTAGATCGGCAGTGTGGCACACTCGATTGCCCTTGAGTGTATTTTTGATTTATTATAGCGTTCGCTTCGAGTGTTTTCTTGAGACCACGGCCAAAAGACCGAAAATCTCAATATGCCTGATAATCATAATCATCAAGGCCGATACACTGTATGGGCTCTATGAGTGCCGCATAAAAGACCACATGACATGATGACTCAAAAAAATTACCAGATTTATTTCTTCTTTGCGAGTGTGGTCTCAAAAGAACACTCGAAACGAATGATATAATATTCCTTGGGAACTGAACGGTAAGGCAAAAATTCGACCTCAGGCAGGGGTTGAACCCGCGTCCCTCCACACCGGTTGATAATTGTTGGTGACTGGTAATCACGACAGGAAGATATTGAAGGATGAGTGGAGAGTAAGCAGTGGCCTCCGTGGCGTAGTGGTGGCTAGCATAAGTCTCCGATATGGTTGAAACGCGAGTTCATCTTCCGTCAAGGGGCGAATTTCTGCTTGTCACTCAATTCTCTTAAGAATATTTGAAATACCACAACACTGCGTAAAAGCAGTAGAAACATCAGAATCTTGGACTGAAAATTTTGCTGAAATCGCCGAGATTTGAACTTTCGAGTAGTTAGTGAAAGCCAACAGTCAAAGCGTTTCCCAGCGAGAAAGGCCACAAGAAAATCGTCCATTTCTTTGGATACATGCGTCGCAAGAGTCAAGTCATAAAAGAAAAAGATACTTAGATGTCATACGGCGACAAATTTATGAACCGATCCTGTTCGCTGGACAGGAGATTTTCATTTGAGTGTTTGTAATCATAACGGAAGCTTGAATCTCTAGCTAGAGCCTTACGCTGTCGATTTTCCATAACATCCTTTTATAACGCTGTAGCATCCAGAATACAACTATATTTCAAACGACCACGCGTTTTTTTTTACCTTTCATATTTTTCATATATTTCCAATGGGCGAAACTCCTCTTTTGAGTGCTAGTAATCATTCGATAGCACAATTTTCAGGGGACTCACAAATGTAATTGCTCTTGGAAAAGCTCTTTCGGTAGCGCTATAGGCAAAAAAAAGTTTGTATCTCGTACTTCGTCGGGCAAAGCCCTTTTTAGACTGATATTAGTTGCCAAGACCAACTGTCTATTAACCTCGGTATGCTTCAATATAATTCCTGATTTTCTTCTTTAAGCCAAACACGACACCTTACATCAGTCTTTATCTAACGGCTGACCTTTTGGCAGTTCGCCTTCTTCAGAAGCCTGGAAAGGTCAAAATTGTCCGCAATCCTATCAGCCAAACACCTCCATTACTCCTGTAGAAAAAATAACTAGACCTTAGATTTCCCCCAATCGCATCAAGCACAAATCAACTCTCAACATACTCACCGCTTTTTTATATGTGTTCCAGTGAATGATCCAAGTGGAGATCCCCGGAAGGAGAATCACATAGGCTCACAAGAGCTATGGCTAGAGTTATGAATTAGAGCTTTACGGCCAGTGATCTCCACTTGGATCATCCAGTGGAACACATATAAAAAAGCGTTGAGAATGTTGAGAGTGCTTTTGTGCTGATGCGATATAATCTGGGTCTGATTTTTTCTAAAGGGAGTAATGAAGGTGTTTGACTGATTGGATTGCGGACAATTTGACCTTTCTAGGCTCTGAAGAAGGCGAACTGCCGAACGTATGCTGTTTGAATAAGGAATTAATATAATACCTCGTGAATGGCTTAAAGAAAAAAAAATCAGGAGGCCCCAAGGCAATAAAAAATGTAAACACAAAAAAACATTGAAGCATGCTGAGGACACTCTGAAAAATCAGGGACTAATAGTAGTCATTAGATAGCGTAGGTATCAATGATCAATGTTGTACTTATTTCCTGGAAATACCGAAAGTTCAGCAGGGAGAATCGATCAAGTCTTGCATTTTCGACGACCTTGTATATAGGCTAAATCAAGCAGCAGCGGTGGGGATCGATCGTGTTCCAAATGTTGCTAATTAACTGAGAAAAATAATATAGCGTCGGTGGTGCAACGGCTAGCATACACTCCCTGGAAGAAGTGAGATCCGGTTCGAATCCCGGCTGACGCGAAACGTTTTGCACAAGCACTCCACTGCATTATTGGGTATATTAGAAGACCATGACACCGCAGGACGGTCAAATAAACGTATTGCGATTGACAATTGAGGATATTCTCAGCGCATCGACACGACCTGCAGGATAAAAACGTATGATTCTAATACTACGGAACAATCCCTCTTCACGCTGATATGCTTTTCGTACTTTCAGCGAGTTCTAACGAGCCATGAAAATTGAAAACGAAAGGCGAGTTGAGAAATATATTTTTATTCCGGATGTTTACAGCCGCCCATAGGGAAGGGCGTCTGAAACACCGGTGACGTGGGGCTGCAGCC